CCATTTGCCTGTTTGTATGCAAATCTTCTATATCTGGCAAGTCAGATAACTGCATCATCCCAAAAATTCAAGGAAAAAGAAAAGGCAATGTGTTAAACAGGTCTTTTACACTGTATTATCTTCATTTTTGTCCTTTTCAGTTCAGAGGGAAACAAGTGACAACTAAGAATTTTGGATGGTCAGTAAAACTTTGTTTAGGAAAAATTACCAATGACGTTCCATTTCTTTTTAAATAAAACTATAATTATTTTTTTTCAATTAAATTTAAGTCATTTGTGTGTAAGAAAACAAAAACAAGCAATGAAAAAGCTATTCAAACTTTTCTCCCTCAGAGTATTACATAAAACAAAAAACTAACAAAAGAAAAATTCAATATCAACAAAAAGAAAGCGGAGTCGAGAAGCAAAAAGAAGAAAAGAAACTTTGTTGCAGTTAGACTCCATTTTTGGCTCTGGTTGGACCACTTCCAAAGACTTTTTGACTCTCTTTTTCCTAACAGAAACACGAACATCCGACGCAGAAGCATTATCCCGAATTTCATAACCTGTAACCCAACAGAAGGAGATCAATAACAAAAGGCCAACAAAAAGGGTAAAAAAGAAGAAGACATTACGGGGAGACAGAGAGGAGAGAGAGAGAAAGAAGAAGACCTGGGTTTTGTTCAGGGGCGAAAACTTGGGATGTGGATGAGAGTTTTTTGCAAGAAAGGCGTGTTCTATACATATTGAGGTTGATGATGACTCCAAACTCAGAATAGCCGAGAGGAAATGCAGTTTTCAGAGGCAGCACACCCAAATGCATTTGGGTTTTTTTTTTTTTTCTTTTTCTTTCTTTTTTTTTTTTGGAAGAGAAACATCGAAAAAGAGAACTTTTTATATTCTTCTTGTGTAAGGCATGGGGTTTTTGGAAGCAGTCTTTCCCTCAACATTTCAATCCCTACATAATTGCTAAATTTTTAGAATAATTGGAGAACACAGTACCTTAAAACAGATCAAAATATATTTTTCTAAAAAGAGAACTCTTCAAAAAAAATTTCTGAAAAACAATCTAGTGGCATTTGGGACAACTGTAATTTATGTTGAGTTTTAAAGTATAAATTTTCAATAAGAGTTAAAATTATTTTGTAAAAACTACATATTTTAGTGCTTGTGTTTAAAAATATCAGATGTAGATTTTGATTTTTGTTTTTGTCGGAAACATTTAAAATTTTATCTGTTTAGTTACAAACGAAATTTTCAAGTTATGATAAGTTTTTTCCTAAATGTTAAGTATGTATTTCATAGTTGGGTAGTGGGCATTGTGGTAGATTTTGTGCACTTATTTTTAGCATAGCCATTTCTTTGTAAGCTTATAGATAAGTAATTTTCCTTTACTGATGAACATTCAGAAAATTCTCTTCAGCATTCCACAAAAACTCCTATGTGATTTAAATTATTTTGTTAGTCTGTCTTTATTTTATAATAAAACTGATGTCAGAGCACACCATGTTCACTACTCACTAGGTGTTTGATAAAAATTATGTGAGAAAGCTTCCATGGTTGCAAATGTTAGTAGTATGATGTTACCCAGCCCATTAGTCTCATCTTCAAAGGGGACTTTATGAGTTTTAGAGCATCAAGATGATGGCTTTGTTCAAGTGTCAAGAACTTTGGGACCTTGTGGAAAGTGGGTATGCTGACCAAGATGGGGAGAATAGGTTCGGGAAAAATAGGAAGAATGACTCAAAGGCATTGTTTTTCATCCAACAAGCTGTTCTTGATACGATTTTTTCACAGATTTCAATTGTAACTACAACAAAGGAAGCATGAGCGATATCAAAGAAGGAATTTCAAGGCTCAACAAAGGTAATTACAGTTAAACTTCAATCTATACGTCGTAATTTCGAAACCTTATTTATGAAAAGTAATGAGATTGTGCTAGATTTTATATTAAACATAATAGAAATTATGAGCCAAATGAGATCCTATGGGGAGAAACTTTATTATCGAACTGTTGTTGAAAAAATTTTAAAGAGTTTGACTCCTAAATGTGATCATGTAGTTACTGCCATTAAAGAATCAAATGACCTTTCTATTTTTTTATTTGATGAACTAATTGGCTCTTTACAAGCACATGAGGCAAGATTAAGCAGCTCATTTGAAAATATTGAGGAAAAAGCATTTCAAGTGAAAAGTGACACAACTTCACACGATAATGAGTTGAGAAAAGTAGCAAATAGAGTTGGATATCATGATCAAGGTTGTGGTAAAGGAAGAAGCAATACTATAAATGGGCAAACTGATCGTGGGTAATCTTCAAATAAAAAATGTTATAATAAAAACAATATCAATGCCACTATGCAATAA